TAGGAGTAGGCTCTTCGGTGGAAGTAGGCCCTCCGCCAGTAGATCCTTCCGTAGAAGCAGGCCCTTCAGTAGTAGTAGGCTCTTCGGTGGAAGTAGACTCATCGGTAGTAGATTCTTCGGTAGAAGAAGGCTCTTCAGTAGGGGTGGGCTGTTCGGTGGTAGTAGGCCCATCGGTAGTAAATTCTTTGGTAGAAGCAGGCTCTTCGGTTGTAGTAGGCCCATCGGTAGTATATTCTTCGGTAGACGTGGGCTCTCCAGTAGGAGTAGGCTCTTCCGTGGTAGTAGGCCCGTCGGTAGTAGATTCTTGGGTAGACGCGGGCTCTCCAGTAGGAGTAGGCTCTTCGGTGGTAGTAGGCCCATCGGTAGTAGATTCTTGGGTAGAAGCTGGCTCTTCAGTAGGAGTAGGCTTTTCGGTGTTAGTAAGCCCATCGGTAGTAGATTCTTGGGTAGAAGCTGGCTCTTCAGTAGGAGTAGGCTCTTCGTTGGTAGTAGGCCCATCGGTAGTAGATTTTTCGGTAGAAGCGGGCTCTTCAGTAGTAGTAGGCTGTTCGTTGGTAGTAGGCCCATCGGTAGTAGATTCTTCAGTAGAAACAGGCTCTACGGTGGAAGTAGGCCCACCGGTAGTAGATTCTTCGGTAGAAGCAGGCTCTTCGGTAGGAGTAGGCTCTNTTTCGGTGTTAGTAAGCCCATCGGTAGTAGATTCTTGGGTAGAAGCTGGCTCTTCAGTAGGAGTAGGCTCTTCGTTGGTAGTAGGCCCATCGGTAGTAGATTTTTCGGTAGAAGCGGGCTCTTCAGTAGTAGTAGGCTGTTCGTTGGTAGTAGGCCCATCGGTAGTAGATTCTTCAGTAGAAACAGGCTCTACGGTGGAAGTAGGCCCACCGGTAGTAGATTCTTCGGTAGAAGCAGGCTCTTCGGTAGGAGTAGGCTCTTCGGTGGTAGTTGGCCCATCGGTAGTAGATTCTTCGGTAGAAGCAGGCCCTTCAGTAGGAGTAGGCTCTTCGGTGGTAGTTGGCCCATCGGTAGTAGATTTTTCGGTAGAAGCAGGCTCTGCAGTAGGAGTGGACTCTTCGGTGGAATTAGGCCCTCCGCCAGTAGATCCTTCCGTAGAAGCAGGCCCTTCAGTAGGAGTAGGCTCTTCGGTGGTAGTAGGCCCATCGGTAGTAGATTTTTCGGTAGAAGCAGGCTCTGCAGTAGGAGTGGACTCTTCGGTGGAATTAGGCCCTCCGCCAGTAGATCCTTCCGTAGAAGCAGGCCCTTCAGTAGGAGTAGGCTCTTCGGTGGAAGTAGACTCATCGGTAGTAGATTCTTCGGTAGAAGAAGGCTCTTCAGTAGGAGTGGGCTCTACGGTGGAAGTAGGCCTATCGGTAGTAGAACCTTCGGTAGAAGCAGGCTCTTCAGTAGGGGTAGGCTCTTCGGTGGTAGTAGGCCCATCGGTAGTAGATTTTTCGGTAGTAGTAGGTACTTCCGTGGTAGTGGAGTCTTCAGTAGTACTGGCGTCTACACTACTTGGTGGTTTTTCACTTGTAGTAGGCTCTTCACTAGGAGTTGGCTCTTCGGTGGTAGTAGGCCCATCCGTAGTAGTAATAGGTACTGCGGTGGTAGTGGATTCTTCAGTGCTACCGGGATCTACACTGCTGCTAGGTTCGTCACTAGTAGTCGGTTTTTCGCTTGAAGTTGGTTCTTCGGTCGTACTAGGTTCTTGACTGCTTGATGGTTCCGAACTGGTTGTGGGTTCTTGTGTGCTAGGCGGTCCTGCAGTAGTGGTACTGGGTTCTTCGCTGGTAGTGGTTGTTGAAGTAGAAGCGGTGGAGGTACTTGTACTCGAGGAAACTGTGCTGCTTTCTGTCTCACCAGATGACACTACACAGTAACCAGCACTTTGACTGAAAACGTATCCACTTGAGCACGATAGATATCTAATAGTGTAACTGCCATCTTCATTTAGGTAACAACCATAAAAAGTGGCCGTATTATCGATGAATGCAAAGAAACCGGGTGCTGTGCAAGGATTCTTAACTACCGCCGCGTTCGCCGCGACAATGGCCGCCAGCAAACCAAGAAAAATTAATTTCATTTCGTTCGTTTATTCGCTATGAGTTTTTATTTATATATTTAATTTAACCAAAAAATTTTATAATTGTTAATTTCTCCGTTCAGCTTAGAACCGCTTCGTTTAGTCGTTAAAAAATAACTGCCTTATGAGAGTTTTTATTAGCATTTATATAGAGCTTCCTAAGTGCTTAATGTTTAACAAATCAAATTTCTTGTGATTACAACACATTAACTGATAACGTTGTGTGGCGATAAACTGATTTGCTACATATGTTTTCTTTATTTGCGTATGTTTATTTTTCATATACATACATACATATATCCGCACCTACTGTTTTTTCAAGCGAAATTTAAAATCACCTTAAATTGGCTATTAATTTTTTGATTGCTTTTGTTCGGAAAATCGCTTTGTGGAATTTCGCAGGTGCAGATTAGGAGAAAATAAAAGTTATTTCTGTTGCTGAGAGTAGTTTTTTAATCGTTCGCTCTACATAATTACATAATGCCGTTGTTGCGGTCATTCTACTTTATTTTATTTTTAAGCTCATTTCTATCAAACATATACATACATACGTACATTCATCATTTTAGTATATATGTACATACATGTCAATGCTATAGCGTACAAAAACCTTTAGCAGCTGAAAAGCTTTGGCTATCCGCACATTTCATGCCAACCGCTTTATAATCTCCTTTCTTACTTAAGCATACGAAATAGTCATAGAAGCTTTCCGCGACTGCAGCAAAACTTCCCACCTGTGTACAATTGAAGTTGACCTCTTCTTCTAGTGATATGCCCTGTAATTTGGCCTGTTCTTTTGCTTCTTTTTCAGCTTTCTTCAGCAACTCTTTTTCATATTTGCGTTGTATTTTCTCACGCAACTTTGCCTCTTTGAGTTTAACCTTCTCCTCCGCTTTCATAATTTTTACCTCCTCACGCACGCACTCCTCATCCGGCGACTTACTCAAATACAAATCGTAATTCAGCGATAAGTCATGCAAACTTGTCATATCTACGAAACATTTACCCAACTCTGGCGTAAAGATCTGGCCATTGCCACACTTGACGTGATAGACGCGTAATCTTGCGCTTAAACGAGATGCCACACACCAATAATAGGATGAGTTATCGGTCGAAGCGGCAAATGTGCCCTCTGCGTTGCAATGAAATATGCCGGTGCATGGTGAGAGGTCACGAGAACAATGCAAAAGCGTCGTATCGAAAGCTTGGCCGTTTGGACAATTCTTTGGTTGTATTTGAAGTTCCCCTATGGCGCTTGGTGTACAAGTAAAGTACGAACGGCAGTCATTTTCCGCTGCAAAGGTGCCCAGTGTAGCACATAAGTTTTGTGTTGGCGCTGAAGTTGTTGTGCTATCATTCTTTGTTACCGATTCTTCTGTCATTTCAGTTGTTGGATCGGAAGCATTTTCTGTTTGAGATTCCTCCGTTAGGGTGAGATCATCACTGCTTGACTCTGTAACTTTCACTTCATCCGTTTTATTTAAACTACTAGTCATTGCCTCAGTCGTAGTTTCACTTGTATCAAGTGTCGTTAGCTCTACAGTAACTGTGTTATCCTTGATTTCTTCCTTAACTTTAGCTAATTTAGTTGCATTCACATCGGCTGGCTCAAGCCCATTTTCACTTTTAAACTCGTCTCCGTTCACTAAGTTTGTTGTAGTCTGAAATTCTATTGTGGCCAGCACATCTTTTTCGGCCGGAGAATTCTCACTTTGCCCGATTTCTGCGTTCAAAGTATCACTTCGTGGCCCAATTTCAATGTCCGCTGCACTATTCTCCGACACAATTTCTGTTGGACTGTCCACTTGTACTCCTTTTTCAAGTTCAGTATCCGTACTTCCTGCTTGTTCAAAGTCGGAGATGTTATCACTATTACTAACGCCGAAGTTCAAATCGAGCTCTTCGCTCAAGGCGGCTTCTGTGATAAAATTTTCTGTCTCCGATTCATCTAAAAATAAATGAAAATGAAGAGTATAAAAGCCCATGATTTAAAAACTACTTACTTTCGACACCCTTTCTGTCAATATCCTTTGATATAGTCCCCTCTGCATAGCCGTCGGCTGTCACGTTCACTTCTTGTGCCAATGTTTTCTGTGTTAAAAACTGCAATGGAAACTCAATGTTCAAAAGAATGTAGTCTTTAGATATTGAACCAATTTTTTTCTTTAACGCACCAAAAGACAGCTGCACAATAAAAATAATACCAATATTTTCCGCTTCATGGTATATGTATGTAAATATATTTACAGCTTCTTTCCAATGTAAAATTTAAATATAAGCCTCGGATATTTGCTATGTGTATAAATTCAAAATCCGGCGCCTAAACGATGGATGCGGCAATTCTTCTAAGCAGTTTCTTACTGAGATGCGTCTGATGCAAGAGCATTTTATATGTATTTAATGGCAACAGATTTTAGATGATCCGAGGCTTCGTCTCAAACGTTATAAAAATTATAATTCTGCAGAATCTAAGATTTGGGAATGTTTATCAATTTGAAAAATTTAAAGACCGTAGAGCAACACTGGAATTGCCAATTCCAACCTTGAATAACTTGGTGAAGAGGCGTAGTACCGAAAAGTTGAAGAAGAACTTTTGCCGCCAAATGTCATTCCTTTCGCACTGAAAAGAGCGCAGAATTTTGGCATATTTCAAAAATTCCATTTCTCTAATTCCATCTTCCATAATCTCGAAAAACTATAGAAAACTAAATGTTTATACGAAATTCAAATTCACAAACAGACTTCCCGATTTATTAAGATTACGCTAAGTACTGCATTCGAATACAACTTGATCCTATTAGATATCTTTAGCAAATATGAAAAGTATGTCATGTCATCATCTAACGCATATGTACTATATACATACATTAGGGTGCATCACCAAAAAAAAAAACGTTGCGGTTTTTCCACCAGAATTATAAAGTTTATTATATTTTAAGACTTTCACTAAAATATTTCGGAAAAGCATTAAGATTTACGTGAGCTAGACCAATTTGAAAAACCCACCAAAAATCTGATTATTTTGATTCCGTTGATACAATTTAAGACAATTTTTTTTAGCTTAAACTCATCTATTATCTGAGGTGATTTTTGAGGAAAAAATATTTTTATAAACTAATTTTATTTATAAAAAGTTCGATTTTGGAATTATGTATTTTAAAATCTTAGTAGTTTTCCCAAATACCTTGGCGGAAGTTTTAAAATATAATATATATTTTATATATCCAATAGAGAAACAGTGGTAATTTGTTTTTATTTTTGCATGGAGAGTAATGCACCCTAATGTACATACATAAATACATGTAACTATTTACTACATATTTTCCGAATGGAACTTTTTCGCTGCATTCTAACATGATTCTAGTTGTTTACCACGCGTATTGACATAATGCGTGCAGTTTGAAGGTGTAAACAACTACTATTTACTGCAAATTTGTAGAAGATTTTGCACAAGAAAATACATAAATTGTGTATAAATGTGTGTATGTATGCGTGCACTTCCGCTGACTTGTTTTTAATTTGCTAGTTGCATTAAAGAATTTTTATCACCTGTTTACCTAACTTTAAATATGTAGGAGAACTCAATAAGTGAATGAATGAGTCACGCGATAACTTATGGACATACGTTTTTTAAATTGTTATCTACGTACTAAGTGCGAGAGTATGGGAAAATCCATAAGTGGTTAGCGAGAGGGCATACATATGTTTATCATGTAGATTTCATAATTTTATAGATTGCTAACGTTTCATGTCTTGAAATCGAGAGGCATTCATAGGTTTGGACAAGCTGAATTGGCTGAATGCCACACCATGCTCTGGCACATAGACGGGGTAGAGGTGGCTTTTCAAACAATTTCAATAAATACCTGACAAAGCCCGTGATTCCAGATTTATTTTCCATACTGAAAACACTGAAAAGGATTCTTTTATAATTTTCTTAAAATGTTAGTTTGCCTGTGGCTAAGAAATAAACATTTAGATCCATTCAACTATTTTAAAAATTCACTTTAAAAGTCCCTCACACAATCTCAAATTTTAGGTGAAACTAGGATCCGCATTCAGTCATTCAATATCACCATAATGCTGGATTTCCACTTGACATTAAATGGCAAAACTTGTAATGACAAAGTTAGGCATTAAGAAATATTCCGATCATTACGCTAAAAAATACTCATTAAATTCATTTCCACATGACATTTTTTTAAATGCCTCCAATTTTTGTCATTTCAATGCCTAGTTGAAATTCGGCATAAGTCAGTAAGTTTGATATTATGGGCCTTATGCATAATAAGTAAGCCTAAGCTCCGATCTAATTTTTGCACTACTGAAGTGAGTTCAAGCTCAAGAATTTATTCTGAAACTCGAGTCTGAGCTTAAGCACACTTTTTATGCATCAGACCCTATATATTGCAACCTTCGAGTATAGGGTAAGAAATTGCCTGAAAAGTTCCCTCAAAAACAAATCGAAATTGGGGAAAAAACAGCAACGGAAATCTAACGCTCACGTAAAGTTAATGTATGTCTCCACTTCACCAAGGCAAGCCATAAGTCTGTGACTCTTTGAATGAAGGATTATTTTTTCGGCTGAAAACCGATGTACAGGGTTACGCATTTATTCTTTTTTTATTTCTTTTTTTTTTACTCATACGTGCAAAAAAAATATCAGTTCAGGCAATAACTTGGCCTTCGATTGTTCTTGGATCGTTAGCATAAACACTATCTTTTGCATGGCTTCAGAAACAGAAATCCAAAGGCGTAAATTACACGATTTTGGTAACCAAGCCACATCGCCGAATCCCGATCCACTTGATATATAGAAGGAACACTTTTGATTGCCAAGTGGTCAATACTTGTATACAGGGACGAAGCTCATATCCCTCCATTCGACCCAGACCAGGTGAGAGTAGTACTAAGGTGGTTCAAAAATAATAAGAGCTCCGAAGGAAATAGTATACCAGTTGATAAAGGTTGTTAAAAGCCTTCTTAATTCAGCATTCCCT